AAAATCCACTCAAGGACATATTTTTAAGGGTCTAAACTTTGCAGATATGCGAAAAAAAATAATTCGAATTTTTCAAATTTCTAGACCAGAATACCCCCTTAACCGTGCTTTCACCGTGTCGCCGAAACTGCCAGGGTTACTAAAAACAGTGGATCAATGGATGAAGTAATATTTATGGTTGTATATTACTACCACTAATAATAGAAAAGGTATAACATACATATGAAGCCAATATTGTCATATGACGATTAAGATTATTTTATCACTATATATTATTAATAATACACAAAGAATAAAAGAGTTAGCAGCCCCGTATATTTCATGCGTTCGTGTAAAAATCAATTTAGCAAAGAAGCTATTAAAGATTATATCATTGGTTACACAAGCCATGAAGGAATGATTGTTTTTCCAGATATTTATTTGCGAATTTTTTTTCTATTACTTTTGGATTATGCTGTTCGTAATCTTACAAAATATTTATAGAAATACAGAAGTATAATAGTATATTGAAATAGAAGCTAATGAGGATAAAATATTACTACATCCAAACATAAAGCAGTTTTTGGAACGTCGAGATATATCTGTAGATAAGATGAAGAAAATTTTTATGAACGGCTAACCAGTCAAACAAGAAAATGATGAATTGTTGGTAAATTTATTCAGTGCGATTAATTTTGTCATCAATATTCACCACACACTTGATATTCAATCTACAATATTCAACTTAAAAACATATCTTTATAAATTTGACTGTTATACAACAGAAACTGCTATTTTTTTAACTTGGATTTAAAAAGCATGATCAGTAATTTATAAAAGTACCATTGAGTTAATAGATGCGTCTTACTTTTATCATTTAACTAGAGGATAAATTTTTGAGTCAAGAATTTTTTTCTTGACTCAAGAAAATCATTTTTTTCAAAATGATATTCTTGGTTCAAGATTTTTGCTCTTGAATAAAGTTAACTTTTTTGTTAGTGTTTTCTTACAATATACGACTGATCAACAGTTGTCTTGTAATTCAGTAAAAAAATAAACAGAATTTACGAATATTTTTATTTTTTTTTATTTATTTAATTCAATTGACCCTAGAACAAGTGTTCACTAAGGGCCGTAAAGTACAAAATATTACATTAATATTGAGCAATTTTATTAATTAAAGTATAACATTTTTTAATTAGTTTTTTATAAATTAAAACAATAGATTTCAGAATTAGCTAGTATAATTTTAGTTATAAAATAATTATATAATATACATTAGGTTAAGGAGTTCGATGAAGATTTTGTGTAATTTTTATAAAATTGTATATTGTCAATCACTGACTATGTTTTAATTTATCATCATTAAGTTTACGACACACAAAACATAAAAATAATTAAATATCAGAGTTGATTTCTGTTGAATGAAAACTTGTTGATGACGCTTCAGTGTAAACTGTCTGGAAATACCGAAAAACCATAGTTTTATTACAGACTCAAACATTTTACAGGATAAAGTTTGATAAAGTTTTTAATACCAGTTTTTTGTTTCTGTATATTATATGTAAGTGAAAAATATTCTTAATTTTTGGTAAAAGCCGAAATCATTTATTTTATAATTTTTTTTTATTTATTAACTTTTGTTTATTATTATTTTAATTTAACAAGATCTTTAAACTCTGTCGAATAATATTGAACGAGTATACGTTTAAATTAACTTAAGTAAACATTAAGTAATAATGGTTAAAATTTTTTTTTGTTTGCTAAAGCTGTGTTGATTTAATGCAAATATTTAAAATAACTTAATTATTGAAGTTAAATTAGCAGATTTAAACAATGTTGTTTTAATTCAAGATATTTTATGTACGTGTGTGACGATTTCAGTGAATTAATTCCTCAGTGTGTTCCATTTCAAAGACGGCCAGGTCAAGTTATAACGTAATGAAGTCTTCTATAAATTTTTCATTATTTGCGGTCGTTATTAGTATTGTTTTAATAACAGTACTATCCAGTGATGATTCACTTGAAAATTTGAACAAAGATAGACCTATCGTAGAAGTTCACGAGGGTAAATTGCGTGGTGTTCAGGAGAAAAATTACAATGGAACCGATTATTTCTATGCATTTCGTGGCATTCCATATGCTAAACCACCAGTTGGAGATTTAAGATTCAAGGTATTGTACATTGTCATTATATATAATGACAAAAAAAAAAGTTCCGAAAACATTTCTGATAAAAGTTCCGATTATGAGACGATCCGGAACTTTTCCGGAATGAGATTCAAAACATGAAAATTTTTATATATTTTGAGCTCTTAGATCAACAAAAAGCTCCAAAGTTTTCCACGGAACATTTGCGGAATGTTTCCGGAATATTTTGAGAATTGTCCTTTAAAGTTACTTACACACTTTTTGGTGAATAAAAAACTTTCAATTTTATTGCAAACACTATAATTGAAAAACTATTCTCGGGAACTTTTCTGGAAAATTTTGAAAAAAGAGAACAGAATAGGTTCTCAAACTTTTCTCAATTTTCAAATTCATTTGTTACCTCTAAAATGTCCTGCGGAATAAATGCGTACACTGTAAAAAATTTTTTGGACTCGGTGTGGTGTAAATGATTCGGTGTAAAAATTTTTAACACGGACGTTAAAAAAATGTACAGTGCAATTTAACAAAAGTCATTATTTAATCAAGCAAAATTTTATTTATTTATAGTTCACAAGTCACGGCAGCCACATAGTGACTGCAAGGTTACTAGTAATAGTTATTAAATTTGCAAAGTTAAAAATAATAACACGGAATAGTGTAAAACAGTAAATTACACCGTGTTAAATTTGCACGAGTGAAAATTTCACACGTAGGAAATTTTACACCGACTTTTCACACTTACACGACGGTGTAAAAGTCTCTGAGTCCAACTTTTACACCGAAATTTTTTACAGTGTAAGTATCTTTAAAGGACAATGCTCAAAATGTTCCGGAAACATTCCGCAAATATTCCGTGGAAAACTTTGGAGCTTTTCGTTGATCCAAGAGCTCAAAATAAATGAAATTTTTCATGCTTTGAATCTCATTTCGAAAATGTTCCGGAGAAGTTCCGGAAAAGTTCCGGATAAATTTCTAAAAAATTTTAAGAATTCCAAATCTTTAGTTACTCAAAATTTGTTAAGTAAATTATTTTAATACTGTTCTTGAAGAGTTTCAGAATTGTTCTGCAAATGTTCCGCATTTGAACGCTGAGAAAAGTATGAGACCCTTTTCTGTTCTTGTTTTTCAAAATTTTCCAGAAAAGTTCCGAAGAATTGTTTTTTAATTATAGTGTTTGCAATAAAATTTAAAGTTATTTATACACCAAAAAGTGTGTATGTAACTTTAAAGGACAATTCTCAACATGTTCCGAAAACATTTCGCAAATGTTCCATGGAAAACTTTTGAGCTTTTTGTTGATCTAAGAGCTCGAAATATATAAAAATTTTCATGTTTTGAATCTCATTCCGGAGAAGTTCCGGAATGGTTCCGGAAAAGTTCCGGATCGTCTCATAATCGGAACTTTTCTCAGGAATGTTTTCGGAATGTTTACGGAACTTTTTTTTTACACGGGATATTTTTTAGTTGCTTTTTCAATATACAGTGTAAATTCTATATAACGACACTAAAGGGACCGTGAATTTTATGACGTTATAGAGAGTTGACGTTAAATAGAGAGAAGAAAAATTAGAATTAGAAAAAAAAAAGTTTACTTTATACTATATTTTTATTTTAGTTATGTGGATAGAGAGCAATTTTATTTATTTATTTATTTATTAACAGCCCTATTGCGTATAGTCTGTTATTTTTGTCTGACGTCTTTCGCTGCACCAATAATTTTGTTGTATTTTTTTTACATATCGACGGTCTAATTAGCTGTGACAGGGAAAATCGAACTTCCCGGGGTCATTTTCGACCCCAATAATTGACGCACGGTAGGTAAGGGCTTTCCCTTACCGTTCGATTTTTTTTGACAAGAATTTCGACTTGTCACCGGGCGTGCAAATCACAGGTCCCTACTACTGTCCCCGAAAAACGAAGCGGGATGTAACGATAGGAAAGTTCGAGAGCCCGAGTGCGGGGTTATAAAAGAGCGTGCACGAAAATGATCGAGGCTTTTTCCTTTTTCCTCTGGAAGCCAGTGGCCTGTTGCCTTTTGTATATCAGTGACCTTTTTTTAAGACCAGTTTAAATTAGACAGTGCAGTCTTGGTAATTGAGAAGCAACTACGGAGGAGTTTATCATGGTGTTTGGAATTGGACAAGCCCTGATCGGGGGCCAGCATCGTGGGTTGAGACGACAAGA